CATATAGGAAGAAGCGGAAATCAATTTCGAGTTTGGACGAGTTAGAACGGGCCCAAAAAGAAAAGCCGCGCGAAACACGTTTAATGTATCGGTCAAGAGCTTTGGGAGAATATGATTTCAAGAATAATTTGGCCATGCAAGCATCATTTAATAAAGGGGTTCGTTAGCTACATATAGGAAAAAACGAAACTCAATTCCGAGTTCAGACGAGCCCAAACCACAAAATACATACTACATATTAATTTTTTTTCATTAATTTTAAAATATAAAATGTATTATCAAAATACGTTTTATTTCTTAATTATTTATAAAACGTATTATGATAATACATTTTATTTATTAATTTTTTATTAAATGTTTTTAATTATTTATTAAACGTATTATCAAAATACATTTTATTTATTAATTTTTTGATACATTTTTTACTTTTTTTTAATTATTTAAAAAAAATATTTTACAAATATAATTTTAAAACGTATTACCATAATACATTTTTTTTAAAAAAAAATAATTAAAAAAACGTATTATGAGAATACGTGCTTTTTATTTTTGTCCACAATTTTTTTTTTCTTTTTATTTTTGTCCAGTTATTTTTTTTTATTTATATATATATAAACTACCCAGATAGATAGTGTATAAATATTTTACAAAATATACACACATGTTTTTTTGTAATTTAATTTTGTATACTAATTAAACAACTTTGATTTATCAAATGCTAAAAACTCAATATTTTCGATAATCAAGATTTTTCTAATTTTGATTATAAGGATTTCTAGTTTATTTAGTATACTATGCAATGAAAATATATCTTACAAGAATTTCATTATAGAAAGAAATCAAAATAAAAAAAAGTATTAAAAAAATAATCATGGTTTCCAATAATATACAAATAAATTTTAAAGAAAAGTTAATATATTTAATTTTAATTTTTGACCAATAGTAAAACTATATAATGTATCTGGTCATTATCTCTTAAATGGTAAATTATATTAATTCGAAGATTAATTTATTTTTTATATATAACAAAATAAAGCATAAAAAAATTATATTGACAAAGATTAATTCACCAACTTGATTTCGCCTAATGAATTGGGGGAAAAAAAATCTACCTAACCTGCTACGATTTCCTATAAATATATTTTGGAAAAAATGTGAATATTTGTTAAAAAAATTAATATTATGGTTAGAACTTAAAATATGTTATAATGTTGATCTTGACCAAAATATTATCAACATGAACACGAAAAATCAATCTTAAAATAGATACCAATGAAATTATTTTAGATATTAATAAAATTATTTAAATAAACAAATTTTTTATTATATCTGATTTGATTTTATTTGAAAACGTGTATATATAAACATCTAATGCATTTATTTACAAATTTCCAAAAAATTGTATGCGTTAAATACACACAAAATTTTTACTACTAATTTTAATAAATGATTATTCTTATTTTATATATATAAGGATGTCAAAGGAAAACTATAAAAAGTAAGAAGAGGCTTGAACTATATAAAGAAGTGAATGCATGCGCATAAAAGAAAAAAAAAATAAAAATTATATGAAGTAAAGCTTAAGTTATGTACTTAATATATATTTCCAACTATAAACAGCCCTTTCATATAGATTAGTCTTAATTCAACTNAAAAAAACTAAAAATATTTTTAATTAATTTTTGTTTCATAATTCTCTTATGTTTGTTGGAATATCACTTATTAGTTGTCCCACATTGATTTGATAGGGTAAATGAGCTTAGTTTATAAGCCTAGTGGGCTACTCCTCCCATCACCAATTGATTTTGAAATGGAACCTCACTATGGTGCACGTAAGTTCACCCTCTTATGGTGCGCTTCATCTGTGGAACATCACTCTCTTCCCCCATTCTATAAATTTAATATGGTATCAGAGCGGGCGTGTCCCACATTGATTTGATAGGCTAAATGAGTTTAGTTTATAAGTCTGCCCACATTGATTTGATAGGGAAATGAGTGTGTTTCGTGCTTTCTCTAAGCCTCCAATGGTGTCAAAAGTCCCAAAAACGAGTTCCTAAGGCCTCTTTTATAATATGGTATCAGAGCGGGCGTGTCCCACATTGATTTGATAGGCTAAATGAGTTTAGTTTATAAGTCTGCCCACATTGATTTGATAGGGAAATGAGTTCTTCCCCCATTCTATAAATCTAATATGGTATCGTGTCCCACATTGATTTGATAGGGTAAATGAGCTTAGTTTATAAGTCTGCCCACATTGATTTGATAGGGTAAATGAGTTTAATTTATAAGCCTACAACACTCTCTTCCCTCATTCTATACTCTTCCTATCAACCGCACTCTCTTCCTCCCATTCTATAAATCTAATAATGTTCACAAATAATTAAACAAAGTACGAAAAAATAAGTTTACAAGAATATCTTAAACAACATATAACAAAACAAAGAATTCCTAACATGACATTTAAAAGAAAATATATGAATAGAAATATTAAACAAAATGAGTTGCACGAGAGATTGTCTTAGCTCGTTATATTGATAAATAAATTAAGTTTGAGCTCGTGCATCAGCTAGTTAACAACTAGACTTAGTTAATTGTTTACACCTCTATATAAGAATAACAAGTATTAAATTCAACTGTGATACAACTATAGACAAACCTAATTATTAAACTATTATTTTTCCCAAACAAAATACTAGAATTTACTGCAGAATATAACAGAAATAAAATTATAAAATTTTTAATTATAAGCATATATTTTCAATCAAAAACATATATAATATAAAAATAAAAAAATACACTTATGATTGTAGGCTTCTAACTTTGGGTAAGGTCACTAGCAACTGAAAATGAATTGCACGTCAAGTGGAAGCGTAATATTTTGTTTGATCAAATGAATGTGTATCTTAATCATTTAACTTATTGAAATTATTGGCTCATTTG